TGTCAAATGAGTAAATGTAAACGTATTGATGAAATGTAAATTTAATCTGTACTGTAAATAGTGGATGTACATTTGGGAAAGATGACATGATGATCCTTTCCTGTCCCTCATGACTCCTTCTAGCCCTGTGAGCAGTCTGACCCCCAGCTCGGGGACATCAGAAGACCTGGACCATCAGGAGATCCAGCTGGCTCTGGAAGACGCCAAGGTGGCCGCCAGGAACAAGATCCGATCACGCTTCCACAGCAGCAGTGACCTCATCCACCGTCTCTTTGTTTGTATATCAGGTACAAGCTCTCTCTCTCTCTCTCTCTCTCTCTCTCTCTCTCTCTCTCTCTCTCTCTCTCTCTCTCTCTCTTAGTCTTTTTCTTCTCCGGCTCTTTGTCTGTGTCAAGCTGATGTCCATTATTTGTGATGCAGGTGTTGCTGATCAGCTGCAGACCAACTATGCTAGTGACCTTCGCAGCATCCTCAAGACTCTGTTTGAAGTCATGGCAACCAAATGTGAGGAGGGAGACAATGATAAGCAAAAGAAAGGTGAGGAATATGTCTCAGATATACAGTAGGGTCTTTCCCTTATTAATATGATACTGACAGAATTTAAAACTGCATTACTGCAGCAAAAAATATTTATGTAATATTTATTGAACTGAACAATGGCAGAGCATAGTGCATCTTATTGACCCACATTCCTGTCTCCTAAAACTACACAAACTTCATTTGCTTGCTTGCTTAAAATAGTAAATCTTCTTGTGGGAAAAAAAAGTTTGACCCCAGTCTGACTTCATGAAATTAGTTCAGCCCTGCTGCTCTAAGTTAAGAAAAAACGCAGAATCCATCCAATGTAAAAGATAAAATTCATCCATGCTTTTATCAAATGATTTCTTGAGTATTGTAGTGCCATTATAGTGGATTTATTTTCTACTTCTGTTGTGTCCAGCAGGTCCTGTTATGCGTAGTGCCGTGCTGGAGGACTGTGCTCTCTGTCAGGAGACCATTTCTTCATCAGAGTTGGCAGCCAAGGCACGGGAGGGCCAGTTCGAAGGTTAGCAAACCTACAAACAAACCCACTCAGTTTAGTTGAAATATTATCCTGACCCCCCCAGCCCCCCACCCCACCCCCACCCCCCTTTCAGCAAAGACAGGCCGGCTCTGTGTTGACTGTTTTTTTGTTGGCTCTGTGTAGACCCTCCTGACTGGGTCCCAGATGAAGCCTGCAACTCCTGCATTGCCTGCAAGGCTCCCTTCACTGTCATCCGCAGGAAGCATCACTGTAGGAGCTGTGGAAAGGTACAATTGCTCTCTTCCTGTCTGAGGAAGGCCAGGTGGCAGAATACCCTCAGCTGTTGCTGAAATAGATGACTTTGAAAACATTGCACATCATAATCATACAGATAGTGACTGATATTATATGTGGTGTCATTTCAGATCTTCTGCTCTCGCTGCTCCTCCCACTCTGCACCGTTGCCCCGATATGGCCAGGTGAAGCCTGTCAGGGTGTGCACACACTGCTACATGTTTCATGTCACGCCTTTCTACAGCGACAAGGCCGGCATCTGAGCCCAGATTATCACAGAAAGCACACAGTCCGCCACAACAAGATCATATGCAACAGACAGACCCACGGCTGTGTACAAAGCAAATGCCACACTGTTCTGGTAAATCTAAATGGTCATCATCGTTCCTGCTAAGCAAGGCTTCAGAGTAAGGCCATTATAGATAACAGAGCAGAGAAACCAGTCACGCTGCCACCGGGTGATGATGAGACCTGTTTCTGAGAGATGCTGGTGCCTCAGTTGGAACCACAGTATTTGATTTCTTTGCCCAGCCAACATAAATGATTCACAAATGCCTGTCTGATTATAGAGGTATGAAAGAGAAAGGGAATGAACAGGCAATAACAGATTTTGAACTGGCATTTTGCAACAGTCTTTTGTAGCAGTTTGCAGCACAAAATCAGAACAGGCCACCCTATTAGTTTTGTTGGTTCAGGTGTAAATGAAAGGACTTGTGACATATTTTCCTATGCTTTTGCGAGCTTCCTACATTTGTGCCAGAGCTCCCTCGGGACTCGGATTACTCAAAAGAATGTAAGTCATGATAACCATGTAAATAAGGATAATTCTGGTAATAGCTACACTAAAATGTCTTCAGTATATGGTTGCTATATATGGGAACTGGAAAGCAATCTTCACCGGGCTACCAGTCCCAGTGAAGCAAAAATGAAAGACAGCTTTTATATTGACATTTTAATGGCAATGAATGTGTAATTCTGTACCACTTTGAGAAATGGGGTCTAGACTCCAACAAGACTGACCCTCCAGCTCTTGATGGTAATGGGCTGTGCCCATCGCTTTTACAGTTGCACCATGGCATGTTTAGTTTTCTCTGGGGACTCCGCTGCACACCAAGATGGATAAAAGGGATTCCTTAGTCATCACTGTCAGGTCTTGAAGGCCCCCTAGTGGAGAGTTGACCTCTCTTCGCTCAGTGCTCTCATCACCGTGATGTGAACAATTTGTTTTGAACCATAGGCCTCCTCAGGTGCTGGCCTACAGACTACAGGCCAATTATTGCTCTTTGGTTTTCCCTCCCCCACACTTGTTATAGTGCAATATTGTGACTACTAACTACGGTGGTCCTGCAAACTTTAGAGGCAGTCCTTTGCTGTTTAAATTATTAGGCCATTTCTGAAGAGCCAAGCTGTGCCGATTTGTGTTTACACTAAATTATTTCCATCTTTGGCTCTGGTGGTACTGTCAGGCTGGAACAGATATTCCCAGGCTGATATCATTTGCACCTCACTTCCTTTCTGCTCTTGAATCTGCTTCCATTGCAATGAATACATACAAAGTATCTTCCATGCTCTTAATATATAACAGTTTGTACATCTGAATGGTCTGAAGTCGCCAGTCTACACATATGGACCTTTGAGCAACAATGTAATATCACATTATGTCCATTCTGCTCTGACTTAAAGCAGTTTCTCAGGCATTACATAATCACAATCACTCACTACTGTTGGATCAATCTTATTTTCATCAAAGAACATGTAAACTCACTTTGAAAAGATATGTTTTTTCTTTTATAAAGAACAAAATAATGTAAGAAGCTATAATTACTTTTATGTGAAAAAACATGAAAAAAACAAGGAATCATGCAGTAATTAATGGGCAGGATATCCTATTATTATTTCAGAGCTTGGTCTTATTTTGTAAAATTCCAGTACATTTCCATGATAAGAGCTGTGTAAAATATTCAACAAACAAATAATGTTATATAGTTTTAAATGCAATGTATATTGAAATAAATGACTTTTTCCTGTTTAAAAAAAATGATGACCAATAATTTTCTGCCTTGAAATGTTTTCATAGATTTGTATCCGGAAATGATTGACCTACTGAACATCATAGTCATATATGCAAAACCGTAACATCATGCAGATATATAGTACATCTCCACAGGCTATGAAGTTGTTGGAAATTAATTTATCAACAGATCAGACTGTAACTACAGACAGCTGTTTCTCCTGGTTTGCAGATGTAAGAAGTGCAGCTCAAATATGACTTTGTTTGTCTGAGACCACAGGGATATTGTTTTTACAAACTGATTGGTCTTTTTCTTGAATAGGCACAGAACACAGACTTGGTTGAAAAATGTTATGAAGATTCTGTCAAAATGTCCATTCACAGCCAGGAGCTATTTTAGTTACTATTTGACAGTTTTTCCTGCCACTTTAGTAGGTGGTGTGAGCCTACTCATCTGATGGGCAACACTCTGCTTAACTGAATGTTCTGAGTTTTGTGAGGAACTGCAGTGACACACTGTTACACCTTCAGAGTTTCCATATTATTAAAGGGTCACTCCAATGATTTTACACGGAAAGGTCAGTTAACTCGTCATGAAGAGTCCCACTAAGCCTATGAAAACAGTTGTGTAATGTCTGTCTCTGACAGGAACTTTCAAAAGTGTGAGGAAATAGTACATGGTATGGTTTATCTTGGCCTGAGCTTAAATACTTCAATTTCAGAACAGAAAGCAAGTTTTTGGGGGTAAGGAGTTTGACACATAGAGTAGAGAAAAAACGTTGAAAATCTTTCAACTTTATGGGGAATGCAACACAAAATTGATGGAGCGACATAGTAAGAAACATACATGGGTTACACTGCAACATTTTGAACCAGCTCAGGAAAACCTTTCTTTTTAAAGACCCTTAAAATTCAATGTTTGCTCTTATATGGCTACACAAGGTATGGCTGCCAGTACTGGATTAGAAACAAAAAATACAGTAGCACACCTGTGCTGCTAACATATAATGAGTTGGAACAGTTATTGATCCTGCTGAGGAATCTCTGCCTTCATGATGGGAACTGATCCGGTCACCGTGGGTGCCACTAGATGGCAGCACATATTTATGGTGTAGTATTATAATGATATTCATCAGTTACAGCATACACTGCTGAATCACGTATTTTAATTTGTTTCCCCCCTAAATATCGAAAATGTTGTACTTCAGACGTGGTTTTGCAAATTCTGAAGTTAATGTTGAAATAGTGGTGTAGGGATTTGAGTCTGTAATACCCATCTGTAGGTTAATAATGACTTTAACACACTTAGTAAAAAGTTTTTGATCTCATACAGGACAGTAACATAGTATACAACATCCTTCCTGTGATGAAGTCATAAGGACTTGATTTTGCAGTGATATTCGCATGGTATCCTTCTTAACACTCTACTGCTGTTATCTCTTTTCTCATACATGAAGCTGACGGTGGTGAGATAACGGCTTTGTGATGAAGAGGTCTGTGAGCGCGAGAGATAAAGAGTTAAACGTGTCCGGCCTCTGCAGCCTGTGATTGGCCCGCAGCTGCAGCGCTGGGACGGACAACAAGTCTCTGCTGTGTGCGCACTGGAAAAGTCACTTGGTGGACGAAGCGAACTACACAGTCTGGACCGCCCTGAGTTTTTTTTTTTTTTTAATTAACATATGTGTGTTTTGTTGTGATTTTTATGGAAGCGTCCGGTTTTCCTCGGCCTTTGAATTCGCTGTTTTATTTCATAGACAAGCGCGCGGTGGTCTGTTAGAGGTCGGTGAAATGTCGACCACTGTCACTTTTGATTCATGGACTCAACACGGACTCTAGCTAAAAACATTTCTGTCAAGAGGCTAATACAAGGTCGACTTCATTCATTCAATATCCAGGTATGTTAAAGACACATTTATATTGACCTTTCCTCTTTTAAAACAACTTTAACCCCTGTATTTGCATGTTTACCCAAGCTACAGGTGAGCAGTACTAACTTAGTGAAATTTTACTGTAAGTACAGCTCAGACAAACCGGGAAAAAAGACAATTTAACGTAGCCTATAGTTTGCTATTCAGGACCTTGGTTAGCTATTTGAATATATAGCCTCCATACATGACTGTGCTTTTACTTTTACCAAGTCATATTAAATTTTGCAAGAACCCTAAAATACTTAAACCCCAATGTTAAGTCCCAGAGAGACCTCAGACCTGAGTCAGACTGTAGCAGATCAGAGAGAGAAACCTTTCGCACATCCTGTAACGGTGCTAACTCAGGTACTGTTAATGAAGTAAAATGAAATTTATATTGAATTGGTTTGTACCATCGAGATTAAACCTACTTCATTTTGGCTCTATTTTAGACCCTTTAGGTTTTCTTACAGACCCCAAAGGGTCCCAGGAGTCTAGTTTGGGAACCACTGAGGTCAACTAAAGAAAATAAAACTTTTGTGCAGCCAGAATAAGTTTATTAATGACATGGAAACTGCTATATACATGCTAGTACAGTCTTTGTTATAACTTGTATATACCATAATGTTATAAGCAAGTAATATTTGGAAAAAATCATAGTATGTGTAAATGGCTTGAAAAAGATTTTTTGTTGTCTAAACCCTCTAACATTATTCTCGGTGGATTGGTCCTGCTATGTGCATAATACACTGCCTCACTGTGTCCATATGTCTTTCAGATTTAGGGAACATGAAGTTGTCTTTGGACACTATGGGCGTCCTGAAGATTGTGCTGTTCATCTTTGAGGCTGTTTTACTGACAGACTGTGCAAGAGGTGAGAGCTGCTTCACAAACTTTCTTTCTTTCTTGCTAATATTGCATACTTTAAACTTGGAAGGTAACACCGCATTCATAGCTCATTATGAGTCAAGTTGACTGGCTGGTTTCTTGTGAGCATGAAGAAAGTCTCAGTTGGCTCTTAACGTTTTCTCACTGAGAAGTAAGAGACGGAAAACTAAAACATAAGAAAAAATCTCTACACAGAGCCCAAAATCAACACAGGGCAGGGGAACGAGAGAGGGCAAGCCTACCCCTACCCACACTGTGTGTGTTTCAGTCATGGCTGTGTATGTATGCGTGTGTGAGAGAATGTGTGTGTGCACATTCACTACAGCTAAACCAAACAAACATCATCCATCAGCTTCCCAGGGTGAAAGAACACAAGTCAGTGTAAGAGTCCAGCTCTCCCGCCAAGGAACTGCCTCACATCAGCGTGTGTGTGTGTGTGTGTGTGTGTGTGTGTGTGTGTGTGTGTGCATGGCCAAAACACTGAGTGTGGAGAGTGGGAGACCTCAGTCTGACCACAATTCATTGCACTGTTTACTGTGCCAGTATCAATACTTTGCTTTATAAAGACAACTTACAGTGAGCTTGTCAACAGGTTGTGAATAACTGTCGAAGCAATTTCTATGATTTCATCCACCATCACTGACTACTGAACCGTGTCTGATGCAATCCAGTGGCATGAGTCAAAGACTGAGGCAAAACTTGAAACTAAACTCCAGCTTTAATGAGAGAAATCTGAAAGCCAGACACATTTCCCCGGAAGACCTCGCACTGGCAAAACACCCAGGCTCCATAGCGCTGTCTTTATTCTCCAGCTCAACGTGGAAGTGAATTCAAGAGGCGTCTGATAGGTACAATACCTGCATGTGGCTATCAGGGCTTGAGGTAGAGGAGGCAGGAGGGGGTTGGCGGCAGTTTAGAGGGGGAGATTAGATCTGTGGGTCTGCAGACAATGCCTCATTCACAGCATGGCAGCCGTGCCTTCACGGCACGACTAAACCAAAAGTAAACAAGACGTGAAGGCTAAATAAGATTAGACAGGCAATTTTGTATGTTTACAGATTAACAGATGTCAGAGAAACCCAAAGGGGAATCCAATGGGATGATGGAGAGTGGAAGTCCAATGGCTCGATACTGACTTTATATCAGAGAAAAAGAAGAATTTACAGTCTGTTTTTCATAATTTCCCTGAAAGTGGTTGCAGATGCACAGACAGATAGACACATCAACAGTTATGTAGTTGGCAGACAGTCTGAGTGAGATGATTTTGAATGATGCTTGACAATTTGTGAGGTGTAAATATCCCACAGTTCTCCCAGCAGAAGCAGCGAAACAGTGAGTTCAGTGTTACAGTCCAAATGCAACAGCTTGACTCTGACACACTGTGAAATACAGTCGGGGGGTTTTGACTCAAACCTTCTGCTTTTATAATGAAGTGAAGGCCAGCAAAGCTGTAAAACTGCCCCAGTAAAATTTAACAATGTATGATGACATCTTTGACAAATGTAAATTCAATTATAAAGGACAGACCCCCTGTGACGTATGTGTGAAACAGTAAAAACACACTAGAAGTGTTACTTTACTGCCTTTATCTAAACATTTCAGACAATGGCTCTGAGAAAACAGTGAGTTTGGGTGAACGCATTTAAGCCTGTTGCTGTCAGTCATCAGGCGACATCTGACCCAGGACCCCCTGCCCTACCACATACACACACACACATGCACTCGCTCACTCACATGTGGACCCTCCCTCTCTCCACTGCCACGACTTTGCGACTGGCCAAGCAAGAATTATTTCTTAAGACCCCTCCTAGGAACCCCCGCACTTCCTCCGTCCCAGCGCCTTCTTTCCTCCCCCTCTGGTGCTCTGCCACCCCCAGCAGCTGGAGGAGGTGCTCAGTGATGTGTCCCAGCAGAGCCTCTAATGTGGTGACAGGCCCGGGGACCACTGGGCTCCACTAACTGAGGAATGCAGCAGCCTGAACATATGGATCTGCAGAAATGCACCCTGGGAGAAACAGAGAGGCACCAGGTGTCTCTGTTATACACCAGGACTAGCTAACAATGAACACACACACACACACACACACACTGAATGGTAGTGTTTTGATGCATTTTAATTAGAAACAGGCATCAAATACAATTGAGTCTTTTTGTGCATGTATATGAATCTGCTGTTTTTTTTTTAACACCACACACATTTGTTTCACCTCTGAAGCATCTGGTGAAGTTTAGAGCATGCACACTGTTCTACAACCCCGTTTGGAAAATATACATTTTATAACAGAGTTACATCATGGTTTCATAACAAGAAGGTACTAGATAAATTGTATGCTAAGGGCTCTTAAAATCACAAGGCCATTTGGCTCCTAGACAGTTTTCCATTTCCTTTAACCATAATGAGGCTAGTTTCTCAGTAACCAAATGCCCCAAAGTCCTCTTATTTTTTAAATAGCTCCTGAATAGTAAGAAGGTGTAACAGTGGTGTTCTGGTTTGTGAGCCAAGCTAGTGAGACTAAGGGGAGGGGGGGCGGCTGAAAAGCTCGGCTTTGCTGCTGAGTAACACGTTTTTTACAGTCCTAGCTCAACTCACACTTTAATGCTCCATTTAGGTATTAGAAATAAAATCAGTTTCATGTTACATTTTGTTTCTCTACCCACACCACACAGCAGAACTTGTGGGAAGTCAAACATCCTTCACCTTCTACCTCAGCTCTAATCAGTGCAACTCCAGCCTCCTGTGTTTTCCAAACCAGACAACCAGCACTGACTGCCACCCTTCTTACATATGTCCCCTTCCTTCTCCCTGCTTCTCTCTGCATTTCCTCCCATTTATTACCAGTGTTAAGTTGAAGGAAGTGAGTTAAGTTAATGTGCTGTCGTTAAAACAAGGCACGAGCTGACCTTAACTCCCACCCAGCCTTTCTCGGCTCTCCGTAGCCCCTATTTACCGAGTCTGGGTCCATTGGTGGAGAACAATGGATGGATTATTACATGTGGTGGTCCCCCCAGGTTGGACAGGGCAGCAGTAATTTATTTTAAACACTCCTCATCCCCTCAGACTGGACTTATTTGCCATCTATTAGAGCTCACAGCAGACGGGGGACTCGCTTTACTGAGGCGCTGCCATTTAGAGGTGCGTGAGAAGAAGTTACGAGAGTGAATGAGCGCTGCTTTCGTGCGTCTGAATGTATGTGTGTGTTTTATTAAGCAGGCTGAAATTACCCTGAGAAAAGTCATGATAATGAGACATCCAAGGAGCACAGGGCAATTTGGAAAACCTCAGAGGTATACCAACTGCTATTCCTGCTCCACCTCCTTCTCCTCTAAACCAGGTGGAAATAATATTCCTCCTGTTATGATCCCTCTGTTTCTATCACGGAAATAATGTTACCACCACTATAACAATTCATGTTTCCCATCTATCAGCACACACTGCTGACCCTGTCAGTTCAGGAGGAAATATTGGAAGAGAGGAATGTGTCAGACTTCACCCCTCGCAGGGGAAAGAAAGGAAAAGGCTGTAGCTGTGATAAGTAGTCATAATGGAGGTCAGTTGGTGTTTACTTTAGCAGGGTCATATAATCCCTGTGAGCAAGACTCCCCTCATTGACTGACTTTAATGGCCACTTCAATTAGCATTCATGTGGAATTTCAACAAGGCATTGTCCACTTTCAGCATTTGTCACTTTCAGCTGTATGCTAATGCTAGGACGGGCACGAGGAGAATTTCATTTTCTGCTTTTTTTTTTTTTTTTAAGAAAATCCTGTTGAAGCATATGAAGGTCTCTGTGTGTACAATGCTCATTAGTTAGTTTGGGCAGTTGGCTGCGGGAGTGTTTTCAGACCACACACACTCTTCCTGCTGGCTGAATGGATTTGGGTTCAGTTAAATAGAATTCCTTTTGCTCCTGTTAACTTTTACAAAACCCATGGAGCTGTTTACAAAGTGCACACGGAGGTGTCAGATTGTCATCATTCAAATGATAATCGACTTTATTTGCTTCCCTGGTTTGACTTCCCTCGCTTTACCAGACTTATTGATAATGGGTTTTTGTTAATTGACAGCTGTTTGGTGTTAAATAAGTGTAATAATCTGATGACACTGGACACTGTTTAGACTCCACACTTCAGGCTGCTGTGTTACGCCCTTGGCCAGAAAGAGAGCAGACTAAGTGATTGGAAGCGAGCCTGTAGGTGGGGGTGAGGGTCCGCCTTGCTGGAACCTTACAAGTGACCTTACAATAGCATTTCAGCCCCACAGTGGGAAATATTTATCTTGCGCAACCCCTCTTTCTAAGCCTCCTTCATTTCTCCAGTCCTGCTCTGTTTTCTCTTTTTCTTTTGAGGAGCCAAGTCATGGAGAGAAACCCCCCCCCCTTTGGTTTTGTGCTGCACAGCTGTTCACTCAGTCACTTTAGTACGTTAAAAGATGAGATTCCAATTGCTCCCCTCTTTCACCCCTCAACAGGAGAAGCCGGTTTTGTTTTCCTGTAGATTATAACTGGTAGATTTATGATTAGGACCACAAGTCTGCATACAGCTGCAGGCAGGGGGTGCAGAAATCGAAAACTGTTCTCACATTTCTTTTCTTCTCCATGTCTTCCCTCTAACATTGGCTCCTTGTTGCATCTTCTGCTGGTGTTGAGCGCCCTTGCACAAAAGCAGCAAATCATGTGCCACAACAACCTTTTGTTGTCTCAAAAAAATATATCTGCAGTATGCTCTATTTACATGATGGTGGCCCTCAGGATGTTGCTTGGACTGAGCAGGTTTGGACAAGTCCAGCAGTTGTCATTGTGATGTTAGTGAATGAAACGCTGATTTAAAGTGCAGAAATATTATCTGCCCCATCTTACTGTATGTGCTTGTTTGCTGTACTTGCCACAGCCTGCTTGAATCTGTGCCGCTGTAGTCTCATACTGACATATCAGAATACCAAATCAGGCAGCAGGGAGGTACCTGTTGCATATCATTTCAGGATGAGGT